TCGCAAAAAAGGCTCTTTACACATCTGTAATTGACTCCATTAATATTTTTTTACATAACCGCTCCACATCACGTTAAAATTGCGTGGTAGAAATATCTCACTTAAAACCTGAGCAGTTCAGGTTTTACATTCATGTCTTTAGGATCTGAAACCAGGTCTTAGAAACCTGATCAGCTCCTGGAGACTCATGACTTCTCTCTTTTTTGGCTGACAGACTCACAAAATTGATTCATCACATCTCTGTAGAGTTCAGGTACACGTGACATTTGCTGACATGCTTGTGCGTCAAGTCTGCTGCAGCCTAGTAATCCCACATCTGATTGTGCAAAGAAAGCCTGTGCTATACAGAGAAGATCATATGGCTGGATTCAGCAAGAACCAGATGGCTTGCCTTATCTACAATGTAGAAACCATACTCTGTGCTTTGCAAAAAAGGAGAGGCATCTCAAAGTGGTAGGCAAATATGCACCAAAACATCCAAGCACTCTCATCCAAAACATCAAATCACTCTCTCCTTATGACTTCAGCAGAGATTATAACCGCATTTGTACGCAATCTTAGATTCATGTAGTCCTGGATCCTTCCTCATCAGTTATGCTCCGCAGTGTCATAGGAATTTCAAAGCTTATTTTTGCCTAATGTATGAGGAGCCTTTACAGCATATTGATGGTTCACAGGAAAATGAAACTACGAGCTCTGAGCTCCCTGCATCACTTTTTTTTTTACAATGTACCAAAAAACAATCTGACATGAGTTAATTATGGTCTATTGCTCTTAATTTTGCTTTTTGCTGTTCATCCCACTGGTTATACTTTTATCTATTTGAGCCTTACCTGCTAATGAGAAGGATGGTGAGTACTGTCCCTCCAGCTACAGAGTGAGCCATGACTGCTAACGGAGAGAAGAGGCCTGGTCCAATTTATCTGGAATGGAAGACAAAGATCTGTTACTTGAGGGCATCCAAAGGCTTGGATTCAGACTGAATAGTAATTATCTCTAAAAACTGCTTAATTAGTTGCATTAAATTAAATTATACTAGATCTTCAGTTACAATTTAAAATCAAATCAATCCACAAATATTTTTTAACTGATATTTAAGTTTTTTTTAACAGGCACAAAAGTGGAGTACAGTCTCCAAAGGCCTAAAAAAAAAATCACACAGCAGATAGTGGCACCTCAGGGACACGCTCTGTACAGCATAATGACTTTGTTAATGACTTCACCCAAACTTTAACTCTGGCACGGGGCTCAATACTTGGCTGAAAAGTAATAAAAGTGGTTCCCTTCTGGGAAAGGGTTAGCGGTGCATAGTTCCCATGCTCCCAGTCTCTACTTTCCTTAAGATAAAAGAAACTCAGACACTGAGAAAAAAACAGCTCAGAGGCTGGAACGGCTTAACGGCTGTAAGCCAATAGATAAAAAAAAAAAAAAAAGAAAAGAAATACATACATATACATATATATATATATATATATATATATATATATATATATATATATAAGCAAAAATATAACTTGTGCTCAGTCGTTCAATGGTAATGTACGTTAATACCCCACCATATCATGGTGTATCTGGACATTTTACAGGGAAAAATACACCGAGATTTGCTCCATGAATGCATTCCTCACCTGTCTTCACAGTTTTATGGCAGAAGAATCACAAATATTTGGACAAGATGGGGAGTGGTGGCCTGGTGATTAGAGCTGTGCACTTGTGCTGTGAGAAGGTTGCAAGTAGCCGGTTCTATCCCCACAGCCTGCACTCTGGCTCCCTGAGCAACACCATTAATCCCTGATTGCTTTTGGCAACAACTTGTGGTTGATAAACAAAAAAATAATGATAAACTAAATCTGTTTCTTATTCTTTTATTGTTTTGTGGTAAATAAAATTGCAGTCTGCTACAAAACAGTTTCAAATTGAACCCATTTTTGACTGAAATAACTCTATCCCTCTGCTTCCACATTAACCTGTAAATCAGTAGAAGAACCAGTTGATAATTTATATTCTAAATCTGCAGATATCATTTATTCCATTACTCCTGTTGAAGTGAAACTTGTCTCTTGAGAGATGAAATCTCCATGGAGAGATGCTCCAGCTATGAGAAATTAAGACAACAATAACAACAATCTCATTTACCATAACTATGCAGACAGCACAGCTTTACTTCACTATATAATCAGGTGACTATGAAACCCATCAGAGCATTGGATATATACATAGAGGACATGCCAACATTTTCTCTAACTGAATAAAATGACATCAAAACTTAGGTAATAATTTTCGGACCAAAGGAGGAGAGAGTTAGCTTATAGCTAAAGCTACTTCAGCTAGAAACAACTGATTATGGCCTAAACCTTGGTGCCATGATGGACTCAGCCGTAAACCTCAGAGGGACATATAAACAGAGTTGCTAGATCAGCATTTTATTACCTGAAGAATATTTCCAGGATTAAAGGACTAATGTCTAAGCAAGATAAGTAATTCATGCATTTATCTTTGGTAGAATAGGTTTGTCCATCAGACAGCTGCAGCTGATAACAAAATGCTGCTGTCCGTGTTCTCACTGGAACTAAGAAAGTAGAACACATCAGCCAGATTCTGCAGTCTTTACACCGGCTTCATGTAGCTCAGAAAGTAAACTTTAAAATCCGTTTGTTAGTCTATGAATCACTGAATAGATCAGCACCTCCATACAAAACAGATTTGTTGTCATTGTATCAACCTTACAGACAACTGATATCTTCGACTTCAAGCATGCTGCTATCAGCCTTATCAATAAGGCCCAGAGACCTCCATGACACTGACACTGCCTCTCTCCCTCCCCTGTTCAGGACCTAGAAGGTACACCAACGTAGCATCTCCAGATCTCCTGCGTCACATTAAAACACAGTCTACTGTTTATATATTTTATTTATATTTTATTTATTTTCACCAAGTCAAATTCCTTGGCAAAAAAACAGCCTTCAGCACTTTTACAGAAGACTGTAAAAGTGGTGAAAGTCTGAGTTCTTTGAGTCAAAGTTAAAAACCTATTTGTTTAGAACTGCCTTTGACTATTGAAGTTAAACTGGTAAATGAGGTATTATGACTTTAAGTTTGTGATCCAACAGTGTGCTTTAGTATCTGCTTTTATCATGTTTATTTTTCTTGCTTTAATCCTGCTTTTATTTTTCTTATATTTTATGGTTTAATCATGTAAAGCATGTTTATTTGGCTTTGTACTGAATAGTCCTTAACTTTTCCTTCTTTATGTTTGCAAGGGTCCTCGTGCAGAGAAGGGTTTTCTTAAAGTATGAATCATCCTTTCAAAAAGCCAGTACTGTAGCACCCATGGGGTAACATGACTTTATATTGATGGTCGTCAGAGCGCCGGGTGGCACAATAGCCTCGGTTATGAAAGATGGTCTCAGTGGTGTTATTTGAATCCCAACGTCACGTATTGTAAATTTACAGGGGGGGGTTAGGCTAACTAGAGAGAACTCACTAATGAAAACTCACCACTGCCCCGGTTATGTCTGTGTACCACAGGGTAACTGTGGCTAAGATCTATTTTCCCACATTGTATGTGATGTTTGCATTTTTAGGTAAATGACTTTCTAGGTAAATGAATGCACTGTAAAATTTATTTGGATTCCTCTGACTTTATCATTTATATTGCAGGGAAGTATGAACTGCTGCAGCTTTGGTTGTTTCTCTTTGTACAATGAAGGACTGTTGACCTGTTTATGATGTAAAATAGATTGGGAAAATGAGACCACCACCACTGTAGGTCTGAACCTTGAAGATGAAGAATACTTAATGAGTCTTGTGCATAAAATAATAAGAATATTGAAATGCCAAAGGCCATTACAGATGTTAATGTTTTTCAACCGTTACTCACTGAAAACTGTAAAGACAGTTATTCTTCCTTTTGAATTATCAATCTTTTTTTATTTCAGCCTTTTAGTTTTAAGTTTTTAAGTTACAATACAAGGAAATCAAGAGAAATTATATCTATGTAATGATGTGTTTGTTTGATTATTTTTTTTACCTACAAGTTACAGAACCTAAATCTACATGTCAGCTACATTTTTCAAGTACAGAACACTTTCTTAATTCCTTTTTGCATTGTGGAATGTCTGTGCTTTAACTTACATACACGCAGTCACCACTTAATTAAATTATTTATGCTAAATAAACATTAATAAATAAATATCAGGATGCATGTCATATAAATTTTTTGTTCTGGGCTTTTTATCTGGTCTCTAAACACTGAAGTAAAGTCTAGGCTTCAAATCAGAGCAATTATGGAGCAGTAGAGTTATGGGAATTTAGCAGAATTAGTTAACATGATGTGGGCCTAAATGCATAGTTTAATTCAAAAACACATGAAAGACTTGGCTCATGGTAAAAATTCTCTTCAGCATCCTATTTTGCATGTAAAACATTAACATGGCATTCCATTAGTGTTCGTTTTTTACAATGCAAAGCACTGGCACTAGCAGAAAGCTCCAGCTAGGAATTGATGTCTTCCTTTTCAGCTCTGTAAAGCATTAAAATGTCCACCTGGAAATAAATTACAGCACTTTCCAGTGACACAGTAATGTTTTCAAAGGGTCAGAATAATCACTCTACTGCCTGAATTAAAAGGTTTAATTGTTGTTATTTTTATTTATTTTTGTTTTGTTTTTTAACAACAGCCTTAGTGATTATATTCTAGTGCATTAGAACTGGAAGACTATTTTCACACTTCAGAGTCTTTTCTATAGTCTTTTTCTATAGTCTTCTTTGCAAAACAAGTTTAATTTAGCCACCACAGAGAGTTGAATTAAATGCCTGAATTGCCTCCTTGTATGCAGTAAAGCTCTACAGAGCCTTGCTAATGAGCAGATTATTTGCTTTAGATGTGCTGCAATAGAGACTTACTAAGAACACGTCCTTAGAGGAGTAGAGTTTGAAACGTAAGTTCTAGGGTTAAACTACGCTGCATTGTTTGCATATAATTATCTTTTTTTTTATCAGTAAAATCGTCCCTGTAGGTTCCAAACTAAAAGTTCCAAACTAAAACTAAAGGTTAGGAACCCAGGGAAGATCTGGATTAATATGCAGATCAATCTCTAATGAACAAACCATGCAAATCCAGAGATGAAGGATATGCGAATATAAACATTTACCCTTTGCACATGGTAAATCCAAATCTGAAACGCAACTGCAGCTGAAGTTTTTGCATCTTTTTTAGTGCTTTTGAAAGTCAGGCTCAAACTAATAGGCTCAAAAATCTGCAGTCATTATAGCCACAAAGGAGGCATTACTAAAAGGCCAGATGATGGAGAAACATTCTGTGCAAATATAAACATATTTGGACTGTCAACAAACAATAATAGTGGAATAATACTATTTAAAATAAAAAATAAAAAACTTCTACAAAGGCCAGTACAAATAAATGCAGTGGGACAGCAGAAAATCATTATACAATTAAACCAAAAAGAAAAAAGAAACTGGAATGACTTATATATTTTTTATTTTTCTATCATTATTAAAAAGTAAAATACCTGTAGATCAACAGAACTGCCAACATTTCCTATTTTAGATTGTTTTTCTGCACAGATGATAATCAGGTAATAAAGCGATGTAATTAGGCGCAGCTGGCATTTCTTAAATTAATCAGCAGGTATAAATGTTCACACATAGTATTTAGCCCCTATCTTTATTTAAAAGAACTGGCAGCAGATGTATTAAATTTCTTTGTAAATTTAAAGCTAGATTTAAATATTTTAGAATCTTTCTAAGATCAGTTTATTGTTTCTTTGTCACCGAATGCAAACCTGGGTCATCGATGAAAAGACCAGAGAGAAGAACACTGGGTGGAACCAGTAACCGAGGTAATCAATGCTGCAATTTACAGCAAATTACTTATGGGATTCTGTGGTGCTCCTGACACAGC